TAAACAGTTCCAAAGGCACCCTTTCCCAGTTCTTCCTTGAATCCTTTTGTGGCATCTTCAAGTTCTTTGTATGAGAAGCAACGCAGATTCGTCTCCATCTCTCCTTTCCTCTGGATACTGTTGAGATCCTTACGCTTTTTTTGGTAGAAATAGAACAGAAACAGGGAAATCACAGCCAAAGTAAAAATGTTGAAAGATCCTGATGTGCCTAAGAGGACCGACAGAATGAGAGTGGCTTGATTTTGCCTTTTTTTGCTTGGATTTGGATTGGGAGGGCTCAACGGAGATTCACCTGATTTCAGTACCTTGATAAATGCTTTTGTCTTAATTTGATCTTGATTGAACCACCCACTTGTAAGCGGTAGTTTCTTCTTCCAGCAGTCTCCAGTGCCATTGTTCAGCTCCGGAGGATTCAGGAAGGCTACTGCACAGATGCAGTCAACAAGGCAAGACCTAATGCATTCTATCTCATTTACAGACTGCACGAGTTCATAGTCACCAAAGGGCCAATCTACAAATTGCATTGTACTTAACTCAAAACGATCCTCCCTAATAGTAGAGCCTTCCTCGTTACAGTCTTCTGGGTAGGTCTGGTAGTTGGGCCTGCATCCAAAAAGTGGATTCTTAGCATTCAGTACAGAAAACCCGTTTGGGCACCGACATGTCGCCCTCCCATCCTGGTTAGGTTGACAGATGCTGTTGTACCCACAAGGTCCACTTCCCAGTGGAGCCAAATTCACAAAACTGGCGCAGATATCCTTAGGTATATACCACGAAGATGCCCAGGTTGCACCTCCATAGGAGGTCTTGGAGTAAGAATACAGGGTGAAAACTCCATCAAAACCAAGTGTTGCCCTGTAGTATGAGTCCTGTTTTGGGACTGTATTGTTTGGCGCAAGTTCGACAAGACTTCCACTTGATTTCCTGATCAGGATATACCCGGATTTGTTGAAGATCAGCCTGGAACCATCTGTGATGTTTAAGTAAAACTCGAACGGTTTTCCGGTATCTACATCTATTTGATTGAGGACTAGAGATTCGGAGGTGAAACGGAGCTGAAATCTTCCCTTCTTGTAGCTTGTTGCAGAGAAGGCTGATGAAAGAGTGCTGTTTAGGCTTAGTTCTTGTCCTGGCAAGATTGTGTCTGTTGGATTTTGGAAGCTCTCCCATATGTTGTCTGAATTCCTGCCTGTGATGACAAAGTTTCCGGTATCCAACATGGCTGCATGGGATACCACTCCAGTGCCATCTTGGGTGCTGTTAGACCACCAAAGCTCCATGCCAGAAGGAGCTCTGAGCACTAGGCCATTGGAGGTAAGCTCAATTCTGGATTTTATCTCTACAGGGTTGTCTCCATTTGCAGACCAAACTATGGTTTTATTGGGTATCTGGGCAAACCAGATAGCAAGGAGGAATCGATCTTGTTGGTCTGGAGCACGGTGGAAGCCAAGTTCAAAATCACCGGATGGTGATTTCCATGTAACGTTTCGATCATCGGCATGGAGAAAATCGCCCACACTGACATTGCGGAAACCTTGTTGAGCTGCTGCAAGAAGGAAGAAACTAGTTAGGAGGATGAGCAGTGGATTCCGAACAACAGCTAGAGATGACATCATGGAATCAGATGAACTTTGCAGAAGAAGTGATTGTAAATCCTAAATCCCTAGAGAAAATTTGGGAGTCTCCTGATTTTCTGAGGTATTTGGAGAAGCTAATCTGTCCTGTTTCAACATAGCAATCGCTTTGGCTGCTTGCGAGCCACCCGACTTTTGAGTCATCCAGACGGGGCCGGAGGGTAAAGAAAGACGACCTTTCGTCCAACAGTCCAAAACCGTCACCAACCCTGAAAATGTTTCTCGAAGGTCGTTAATGGATTCATTAGTGATTTTTGAGCCAGAAGCTTCGTGTGCTTTTGGTCTGGTTTCTGTCAGGCCCAGCCCAATCCAAATTCTTCCTTCCCATCAGCTATCACAAAATTAATTAATTAATAATTAATGGTGTGGATGAGTATCATCGGATACATCCATTATTTATAAATATTTTATTTATTTA